ATGGAGGTTGGCGGATTTGTGGAGTGAAGCTACATACAATTAAAGTTAAAGATCAAGTTCAAGCTTCATCCGTAACGTGTACCAAGTTGAGCTCAATGAAGATCAAGATCAAGCTTGGGTAATTTAGTATAGGTTTATATTATGTGTGTTTAATATGTTAAGCTCAATATCTATACACACACATTTTATTGGTTTCTTCGTATATATATATATATAGTCATATATATATATATATAAGTTTTGGTTTCTATGCATATATATAGTTATATATATACATACATGTGTTTTGAGTTTTTATGATTATATATATGAAATTATATATTTCATATTTTCTATTGTGTTTTTGAAAACATTGCATAGAATATGCAATTTTGTGAAAATATTGTATTCTTAGTTTGTAGACTTGAATATCAGTTTATACGTGTTTTACTAAGTCTATAAAAACATTTCACAAAGTTTCAAAAGTTGGTTTATGTCAAAACATCAAAATTCAAGTATCTCATATTTTTATGTTTTGGACTATTTTGTAAAATGATGATATTTTTTCATTTGGGAAGTCCTTTTGTAAAGTGATGATATGTTTATTATCATGTCTACAATCATTCCCCAAAGTTTTATATTTTTTGGAATTTATTTGATATTTTTAAACAGTGTTTTAAAATCAGCAAAACAGGTTTTTCTATGTATCAGTATTCGGTCGACCGGACTGGTAGACCGAACATTTGTTCATTTCTTACCATGCGACAGAGAGTCTGGCGGTCTGTGCATTGCTACAGTAATCCGGTCGACCGAAATTTTGGTCGGTCGACCGAAATTTCCTCCGGTCGACCGGTACGGTCGACCGACGCTGTTTCTGCTCGATTCCCAGGTTGGGATCTTCATCGCGGTCGACCGACGATATTTCCGGTCGACCGACTATGTGACCGTTGCTTTCTAACGGCTCTTTTCTGAGCCGATTTTCTCTGGGTCTTTTTGTCCTTTTCTTGGGTAGTTTTTGGCTGAGTTGTGAGAGGGTATAAATACCCCATTGCCTTCAACTCTTAAGAAAATCTAAGAAGTTTTTAAAACAAATTTTAAACAAGGGTTTAAAGTGTGTTTAAGGGTTTGTTTTGTTTGTGAAGAAGTTTTCACAAGTGGAGGAGATCATCTTCTTGTTTGGGCTTCAATCTCCATCTCTCCATCTTGTTATTCAGAGAAGAATCTCTAAACTCATTTCTAGCTATTTATTATTTTGTTTATAATTTCTATATGCTAGATTTTAATTGAGTTTAGTTTTGATTTTGATTTCACTCATTGTTTACACACACCCACTTGAGCTTATTGTATTTGCATTCATAATATATTAGGGTTGTGAAAGTTGTAACTTTGAGTGTGGGTTTTTATTGTGTTCTTATCCATATTAGAGAATAATTTATATTTGTTACATTGTGAGATTGTTAGGTTTTCGGTGAGCTAGAAACCGAGTGTGTTGTGAGGTTTTCGGTGAGCTAGAAACCGAGTGTGTTGTAAAGTTTTCGGTGAACTAGAAAACCGATTGTGAGGAGTGACGTTGATCGGTGAGCGTTGAAAACCGATACTGTGAGGTGTAAACTTTATTCGGGTGAACGTAGAAAACCCGGTTGATAGTGGATTTCTCCCCGGGAGTGGGGAGCGGAGACGTAGGACGGAAGGTCCGAACTCCGTGATCATATTGCTTGTTTGAGTGTGCTTTGGCGTTCATTCATATTTATGTTCATATCTTACATCGCCATTGTGTATTGCTCTTTCTACATCATCCACTATCTAGTTTAGATTGTTTACCCTTGAGTTTATATATCCTTGCACATACATTGCCTATATCTCCTTGTTAGGATATATCTTATTGTTTACATTGCTTATCCTAGCTTACAAATATTGTTGTATTTCATACTTTCTAGGATAACTTATTAATTAGTTTTTAATTGGCATTTAATCGGATTAGATTAGCATAAGACCCTAATCACCCCCCCTCTAGGGTCTAACAATATGATCGTTCTGCTTCCCCTTGTCTTTCATAATTTGTAATAAATTATTTGACAAAGTAAATTAAGTTGTCATTTTATATTTCTCACATTCTTATAAGTTTTTGAATCTCATAGCTTGGATATAAATATTATTGCAAATATTGTATTCTTCTAACTCCTTAAGCTAAATTTTTGAATGTTGATTGACATTGGATAGATTTAAATTATTTTATTAAAATACAATCAATATGAATGCATAATATGTACAAATAATTCTCAGACTATATTTTATGATTTTCTGAAACCAGAGAGTAATCGTTTTGACAGATCAATTAGTATTTGGGAAGATGTAAATAGAGTACAACATCAGATTTTGGAATTGATCACATAATTTATATTTTCTTTCTTGATTGCATTTGCACATTCTAACTTAGAAAATTTTAGAAAAAAAGGTTTTGAATATCTATAATACTCAATCACCAGATAAACAACATGTGAAAGTAAACAACAGGTGGAAGTGATTTTTTAAAAACTGAACAAAATCCTTAATGATTAGATGAAACCTACCATTTTCCTTAATGAACTCAAAATTTTATTATTTTATTAATAATAATAGGTTTTTTCCATATTGGCCCCTTACATCATTAATATTTTGAAACTATACATTCAAATTACTATTTAATCTTAAATTATTAATATTTTATGGCTTTAAACATTACTATTTTCCTGAAAGACAAAATGTTAAAATCACACATGGAAATATCCAAAAAAAATTAATATATTACAATAATTATAAAGTTTTTTACAACCATGTTATAGTAAATAAATAAACTTAAAGTAAATAATTATAATATTTGACCACGTGCAGTGCGCGTGCATTCCACCTAGTTACTTCTAAATGCAGGAGTTTTCTGTATACTTTAGACTTGTCCTTGTATGCTGACACATAATATCATTTTTCGTGTATATATTTTTTCAATTATGTCACTTTATTCATTCGTAATCAATCATTAAATAATAGCTAGCTAATTGACTATGATTTATTCTATAAAATAATAAACATGTCGTAATTCGATCTCATTCATTATTGTTAGTGTTATTCACTTAAGAATAATCGTCACTACCAGTATTGATTGAATTACCTGCAGCACAAGCAGAGGATACCCTGAAACATCATCAGTATAAACCACAGCCGGAATAAGCTGCTTCAGCTCCATTGTAGGAGCAAAATCCCCAAAATCATCGATCGACGAGCTAGTCTCTGCCACAACAAAGAGAACTCCAGCTCCATTACAGTCAATCTCAATACGGCCATCTTTGTCCCTCGCCAATCTCCCTGCCATCGGGTAAAATGGCACGAGCACTCGGCTCAGCGCTTCTTTTAGAACCTCGGCGTCAAAGAAGTTGGTCGCTGTGTCTCGTCGACGGTAAAAGTATACGCTTGGCATGTGGAGCCTCACGACGATGAGGTCGAGGTCCGAGATCCAGACTCTTTGATTTGGTGTTGGTTGAGCTGGGCGAACCATTGAGGTTTCTTTGACGTTGATGATCATATTTGGTGCACCTACATTTTGTTGATTTTCAAAGTAATTGGTTTAGAAATTGGTTGTTGCTTCGTAGGGGATCATGTTTTTGTAAGGGTTTCAACAAATGCATCTGAGCGTCTATTTTGCAAATTTTCCCTTTTATTATTTGTTGGGCTCTTACCACTTCTATGAAAAAAAGAACGTAAGTTTAATTAGCAAGTTTCTCTCTTTTTGAGAAACAAACTTGAAACTTGATTGATACAATCAAAAGATCATGAAACGTAACCTTACATTGAGTCAGACCTTCAAAAATTTTCTAACTTCTGAAACTTGCTTGTGATCATCGCAAAGACGATTAAACTCTTCCAGACACCCAAGAATGTACAAAATAATTATCAAAATGGTTCAATATTCAAAACTCATAATTAAACTCAAGTCAGATAGAAGAAAATTCTACCTTAAATGACCAAAGGATGATCTTATTGCTGAGGCTTTATAAGGAGGCAATGAAGAACCGACGGAGGAGAACCAGGGAGAAAGAAAGCAAGAACGAAGGAGTACGTATATAAAAAAATTAAGGGGGCTCTTTTGGTGGAGAGCTGGTTTGCAATGGGCACCCCAAACCAATTTTTATAGTAGTTTCCAATTTTAATTCAAATAAAAAATAAGAAATAAAGTTAGGAGGGACTGGTTGAGCCTTTGGCTGTGGACCAGACACGTGGCAGAGGCTCACACGAGAGAACACTAAAATTATGATATTATAATCTATATGTATATCTATATACTACATATAAAAGAGGATTTTGGTGTTAAAACATTTGATTGTTCTTTTTACTCTCTAAACTTTAATTATTCTAACTTTAATTAATTTGATATGTCTCAATTATATCTCTTTGTAGTTTTCTTATCAAATGAGCTTTAGCTCACGCTGATGCATGGCACATATTTATGTACTTTAATGGAGCTTTTCAATTCCTTAATAATGCCTAAAGCATTTGTCTTCTTTATGTAGTTTTGTGCCCCAATTGAAGTGTCCATTTGTTATCTCTGGCTGTTATTTCTATTAACGTAAGATAATTAATACTCATTAGTTTTTTATCTTTTTTCTTAGCACTTATTTACACTTTCTGAAATCAAAAGCATGAAGGAGGCCATTATAACTCTTTGATAATCATCAACCCAATTTGGGATAAATCCCTAAGAGAATAAAATTAACCTACGTGGAATTTTTGAAAATATAGGGTCTTTAGATGAGCATTAATATATGTAGTTTAAGTATTTTCATTTGGTTTTACCTTTTTTTCTCTTGTGTGCAGTTAACTGGAAAGTTGTTCAATCATCACACTCGCCCGGAAGTTTCGTGTGTTTCTTACATATGGGAACAATAAGCTCGAGGTTTTGTCTATTCTCTTATTCAAGTTTATGGTACTAGGTATTTTACTTGCATGTCTTATTCCTCCCCTGTAACTCCAAAAGAGATGCACGTTTTGCGTATATCCCTTTACTTTTTTGCAACCTGTAATATTAAAAGGGATATTTTATTTATGGTCTTGCTTCAGTTCTTCATGCTTATATGTAGCTAATTACTTCTTTCTAATGATTTTTTTTGGTCAATGAAAATGATTTTATTCATTACCAAGTGTGAACATTACATAGCACTTATCCAGATAGTCTAGATCTCAACTAGCCAAAAGATCACAAAATTACAATCTCACAATACTTTCCTTTACATACTCTGGAAAATCATCATTCAAAATTTTAGAGAAAATGGAGATTTTTATCACACAAAACAGTTGATCAGGTTGTCTCATTTTGCTTTGAAATATCCTCAAGTTTCTCTCTTGCCATATCTGATATACTAAAACAGAGAGCGCCATTCTTTTCAATATTTCTGCAAAATTCTTTCTTCGAAGTCTACAACTGTACCAATCTATAATGTGCTGTCAATCACAAGATCTCCAATTGAACTTCAACCAATCCATGACCTTGTTCCAAACACTAGCACTGTACTGACAGTCAAAGAAAAGGTGTTGGCATGTTTCCAGTTGATTAGAACATAGCACACACCTATTAGTATTGATGATGTTCATACGACAAAGCCTCTCCTGTGTTAGCAACCTAGAATGGGCAACTAACTGTAGGCATATAAAATTGCTTATAGGTCCCTTAGCACAGTTCGGCATAAACCGACGAACCAACGAGGCGACGAGTTCGACGAATCGTACGCAAGCGACGGAATGCATCCATACGCGTTCGGAATCAAGCCAAGTGTCAAAGAATCAACGAGTCATCCAACCAAGGGCATACTCGGACGAATCACGATCGAATCAAGATCGGTTTCGGACTCGAACTCAGAAGTGGATTTACTGCCTAATCAGGATCCAATTTTCTGCCAAATCAGGTCAACGAGTCAATCAACCGCACAACCGAATCACGGACAAGACCGAAAGACGGAAAACAACCAAACCCACCACCTAGAGGGGCTCGGCCGAAGCCGAGCCACAAACTAACCCTCAACCAAAGATCTCACCTTGCTCACAATATCTCCCTCTCACAATGCTCAAAAGATTCCTCAATCTCTGATAAAAAACCCTCACAAATCGTTTCCCTATTTATATCAAAACAAAACCCCAATCAGACTGCAAATAGGAAACCTGCGTATGCAAAAAACCCGTCGTAAGTCGACTTAACAGAGCTCACAAGTCGACTTGACAGAGAGAAAATCAACAACTGGAGAACACTTCATAAGTCGACTTAACAGACTGTTAAGTCGACTTGCCATAAGTCGACTTAACAGTCATGCTAAGTCGACTTGACAGAGGCTAAAATCACAATTCGGCTGCAGATCGTAAGTCGACTCGTGCACAGTGCATGAGTCGACTTATGCCAGTTTTTCTGGTTTTTCTGATTCTTTTCCTGATTTCTCCACAGCAGCCTCACAGGGGCCTTCATGTGAGTTGCTCCAATTTTGACTGTTGAAGCAAAGTTAGGGATGCTTGAAGTTTACTCCCTCACTAGTTTCTAGACTTTCTTGCATACAAAAGAGACTGAATATGATTGTTAAATTGATATCCGTTTACCATTCACAGATACAGATATGAATAATAATCTATATAGGCCATTTGATGTAAAACCGATATAGACAAAATTTCTCGAGTTAGAATCTATTCACTGGCATTTTAGAGCCGTATGATCGATCGACGCATACACCAAATATCGATCCGAGATTGTATACGTATCTTCATACAATATTTCTACGGAAGAACAATAAATTCAAATGCATATACATCCTATAAGGTGCTCATGATATCTTGCGCTCCTACTATGTAAATTTCAATGGCCTACCTGCAGCTGTCTCATATATCACAAGTACTGACCAAGTCCTCTTCAATTAAGACTCTGTGAACTGTGATGTCCTCATCTTGGCCCCTGCTTATTTCCTGATGCGCTCATGTTCGTATATAGTACTTGTCTCTTCAGCTGATCAAATTTATTATTACTCTCGATCGCTTGCATGTCATTGGAGGCGCAGGAACTTGACTCCCGAGAGTGATCCCAGCCTTATGAATGGTGCATTTATGAGAGACCCTTTTTTGACTTTTCACAATCGGGGTTGGTGTTTGGAAAGTTTGCGTTGTACATTGTTTATGGACGTCCGAGTACCCCCTTGAAAACTTCCAATTACTTCTAATAAATTTAAGCTATTCTATGATCTAGCTACTAGCACTTGATAAGCAAAGATTACATATTTTGGTAGGTTAAATTCATCGCTTGCGCGAACCATTTAAAAAAAAAAGATATGAACACTGTTTTTAAAGTTATAAAACATTACTTCAGCTTGAACGGTGGATAAAGGGCCGTTTAATTCACTCTAGCATAAAGAGCATGTTTAAGATTCAAAAATTGTGTTGTTTATGAACAGTGTTTATGGGGAAAATATCTACAACACGAATAGCATGGCTACACTGTAGCAAGAACAGTGTTTACTGTAGCATAAATGATAATTTTGACATTTTGCTTTTAAGTTAGAAGAAGAAGATACATGTATTACATTATAAATTATAACTCCCAATCCTTACCACGACTTGAGATTCCATCGTAGGAAAAATGACATTCAACCTATTGCGGAAGTGTTCACAATATATAAAATAATAATCTTCTATCATTATCACAACTACATAATTCTAATACAACACAGGAAACATCAAGAACACGTAGTATAATTCGACTGGATCTTGAGTAAAGATCAGATGAGGTTTTCTCCTTTTGCTCACTTACTTAATTGACAACAGAGGAAAGTAAGTAATGGTGATCATCATGCCCATGCCCAAGGTTCAAAAGGTTTCAGACCCATAAACTAAGTGACAAAACTAGGGTCCAAAGTAACTTAGGGAAGCTTAACCCTTCTTGATATTTTTGAGAAAACCACACTGAACCAAATTATCTGCACATTCCACCATAGCTTTTTTTTTTTTTAATTTTAAATCCTCCTCCTCTTGGGATGAGGAACTAATTAAGATCCCCAGTGTCACCAGTTAACAAAGAGAAGGCTTCAAAAGTTCACCCAACTCAACGTGAAACCGACAGACTCAGCACTTAGAAAATCGATGCTAATCGCGGTGTAAAGGCTAGCTCATAAAGTTTATGCGGTTGCTCCTTTTGATGAACAGGGTTACGTGACAAAACTGAGGGGAGCGAGGCAATACTGAAAATGTGTGCAGGTCAATGGTCCGTGGGCCAAGTTTTAAGTTTAACAGGTAAACAAGCTTTTGAGAGGTTTTGGGCGTTTGGAGTATTATTGGACTGCGCTAGAATCTGCTTTATAAGGGAACAACAGTGTGAGAAAAATCCAAAGAGGGGGAAGCTTGGCTCGGTCAGGAGGGGTCCAACTATTCACACTCCCAAACAGTAATTTTGGGGGTGTGTGAGGACTAAATTGCCCTTCTCCCACCGGACAGCCAATCCGGTGGGTAATTAATTTTTCTGTCTTTTTTTGTGTCCCACCGGACACTCAATCCAGGGGCATCTATATCCCACCGGACAGGCAATCTGGTGGGTATTTTTTTTTTGTTGCCCACCGGACACATAGTCTGACGCGCCTGTCGGCCACCGGACACCGTGTCCGATGGGTTATAAATTTTTTTTTTATTTTGTTTTATTAACTAATTCCATTTTAATTGTGCATTTTAATTGTAGGATTTGGAACTATATCGTTAATTGATTTTTTATGAAAACTATTAATGATTTTTATTTGTTAAAAATGTTTGAAGTGTTATTAAAAAAAATTAAATTTTTTTGAGAGCATATATAAATAAATGTTGGTTTAATTTTAATATAATTTGAATTTTTAAAATCGTTAATAAAATTATTGCACACCGGACACGGAGTCCGGTGGCAACAAAAGGGCATTTTCGGCAATCCAACTCCCAAAATTACTGTTTGTGAGTGGATATAGCAAACGTGGGTCGGGTCGGGAGTCGTGATTTGAGCATTTGGGTGAAAACGTTGTTAGACCTCTGCAACGCCTTTGAAAAGTTTGCTTTGGTCATTTCTAACTTTTGAAAAGGGATGAACTTTTCTTTTTTCGCACG